ATATATATATATATATATATATATATATATATATATATACCGTAATCACGTGATCGAAGTCAGTAACATCGCCACGGTCGCGCGGCCGAGGTCAGTGACTCCACCGCAGTCGCGCGACCGAGGTCAGTGACCCGCCCCCACCAAGGCCGCGCGGCCGAGGTCAGTGACTCCACCGCAGTCACGCGACCGAGGTCATTGACCCCGCCGCGGTCGCGCGACCGCGGTCAGTGACCCGCCCCCACCAAGGCCGCGCGGCCGAGGTCAGTGACATTACTCTGTAGTATGTATATAATACATATAATACAATATAAAGTATAATATTATAAATATATAATAAATTATATGTATAATATGTATTTTTTAATGTTATATATAATATAAATTACAGTCACGTTATTTTCACGTGTTGTTTTTCTACTCTTTCCTGTCACATGACTTTAGTTACGTTTTTAATTTTCTCTACATATACGACGAACTGTCTCAAAATTGTTTTTATTATTTACTCTCTCGATCTTACTTTGTCACAATTTAAAATATAGAGGAAATAATTCAGGAGTCAATCAGCGAAATGAATGCTGCGAAATGAAAGTGATTATAAAATTTTGTTGCGCGCGATCGATTAAAATTCCTATTAACGTGGACGTTCAAGAGATTGAATAATGATCTTTTTTCCGACTGTGTTAACGAGCGTAAAATGAGAAGACATTTAACGTCACGACAATCTCGTATCTATTAGATGACCTTTCGTTTTATTTTCTCACACCCGGACCCCGCGGACGGATCCTTGTTGAGAAACGATCACTCGTGAGAGTGCAAGCGATGTGAGATTATAATAAATTAATGCACGTTCGATGCACATAGGTCAACCAATAGAACGTCTCGCCGGTGAGTAATGTCAACAGAATCTCCGTATAATTTAAAACCCCATTGTGTGAAAAGCTCACACCTAATGCAGGCAGTAAATTCTTGTTATGTTTGATTACCTGCGATTGAAAGATATCTTTTCAAACAATGTTATGACTGGCATGAGTAAATAAACGCGCATTAGATGTCTCCCTCTTGTCGGAGAGAACTTTTTGTGTGAACGCGCGTGAAAATGGGACAGTGCCGCGAAATGAGAGTCACGCTTGCGTCTCGCGTGGCGATAATCCTGTCGATTCGAAAATGTTGTTCAGTTTTTTTTTTTATGTGCCACAAATACCGTTTTTGAAATTAGAAATCAATGTGTGGTGGCACCGTTACAACTTTTTGATTATAATAAAGATAGAGCTTCCGCATTACTTAGTAATTAAAATACTGACGTAGATGGACAGGCACATGCGGAAAGTGTCAGGTATCACAACTGATTCGACTCAAAGCGAGAAGAAAATTTATACTTTCGTGAATGTCTAAAAATCGACTATCGGGAATTTTGCGACTAAAGCAAAATACACGCTTAAATTTTGAGCGAAGCGCTGTAAAACATTTCGTTAGTGTACATCATCGCCAAATATCTTCGACTTTTCCGTAATTAGAAATTCGATCGCGGAACATCAAAGGCGAAAACATTAAAACAATCGGCGATAGAGTTTGAATTCCTTCGCGTAGCGCGTTAACGCGATTGTTTACGCGATCCAAGCAACATTTTGCGGTGAACGAAGTCTCTCGATGCCTACAAGTGCATCGTGCACTTTGTAGTCCAGAAAACGGCATGTCGATCTAATTTGTATGGCGAGGTGTCGATACACAGAAACGACAGTCCACGTGGCATACTAACGATTTTCGCTCGCGGAAGGTGGGTTTCTGGCACGTATACGCTTGACGAATATAGAAATCTCGAGGATTCGATTCGATGCCGAAACGTTCAATGTAGAGAATAATTAACGTGTAACATCTTTCCCATTCACGCGTGAGGACGCCGCGCTTCTGGTTTTTTTTTGCGAACGTTGTTTCTCATCGAGCACGAAAAGAACGGCGAAATAGGAATTTCGATTTCGATGTCAAATTTACCGAGAGAGAAAACCCGAGCCGGCATGTCTGCGCATCTGCGAGAATCTGGACCAAAATGCCGTTATGTGGAGGCCCGAAGTGGGTCACTCGACATTTTGAAATCGTACCTACCAACCGACCGCTCAATACGAAGTAAAACGCGGACAAGTGCATCAAATGTAGAAAACTACACTTCTTTCTCAAGTGTATTGTTGTGTTTTGGGAATGTATGTAAAAAAAAAAACATTAGAAAATATACACATGTACAAAATAATTCCATACTTTGTAATATTTTAATAATTCGTGAAAATATAAATTTATAAATATAATTCTGCGTCGACGATCTTTGTCTATCACAGATGTCCTTCGTGCAGTTGAAGGTGTTGCTTTGGATACTCGAACTCTCGTAAAGAGGTCAGTCTCAATAATTGCGAGAAAATACTATTGTCACTTGTCAGTTTTTATCTACCAAACCACTCGTGTTCCTCGTCCTCGGGATAATAATAATTGTCCTTGTGATAATAATGTGCGTGATGTTGCGGTTGATGAACCACGACTACTTCTTGGTTGCTTGTACTTTTAATCAAGTTGTAGATCATTATCGCTATTGCTAACTGCGCCACCATGATGCTCCTCAGAAGTGACATTTTAATAGTCGCTATGGCGCCTGGCAGAGACAGTATCTGAAAAATCAATTTAACAATTAGAATGTGTATTATTTTTTAATAATAATTAAAAGAAATTAAAAGAAATCAAAAACCTGCATGACGAACGGCGTCATCATCATCATGAATCCGATGTTCTTCAAAGGATTCTTTTTCTCTTCGCCTTGCTTGCGACCCTCAACTTCCGTCTCTGATGAAACGAAACACGCGTTTGTCGGAAAGAAGAATGCGAACAAGCAAAGTAAATAAATAAATAAATATATACCTTTCTTTATTAGATCGCAAATTGTCATGTGAACAACGACTTTGTTGTCCGTCACGGAAAACCAGACTCCCGGAAAAATATTTAAGACTCGGGTCTTGTTAAGCCCTACTTGAGTATTGTTATTCACCTTCTCTTCGGCTCGAATCAACAATTTCGAAGATATCAGGCAAATAATAACAAAGCTACAAACAACTAACTTTGCTCCGATCATGTCCTCGATTTTAGAACAAATTTACACAGCTGACTGAAACACACGTAACAAATGTCATTTGCACAAAAAACTAACAATTTACATGCGCAAAACTACTTTATTTCTCACATTTTTTTTTCACTTCGTAAGATTTATTTAAATAACTTTATTGTAATAAACAATGGTGTGACAGTAGCATATAATTCAGATGTAAAATGTAATTATCCTCGCTGTGTGTAAAAGCAAATCTTACTTACGACGCTACAGATCCACATTCACCTAACTTTCACAAGTGTCATACATTTATGCCGAACTATTACTATTTTACCGTAAAACATCATAAATTGTAAAATCACACATTAACGTCTTGCGTAATTCTTACACACTTGATTAAATGAACACCGATAAACAGGTACTGAGAAGATGCCAAGAAAGTTTTCTCGATTTTTTCCCGATCCGATTCGCACAAACCAACGCGTTCTACTCGTATTCGTCTGGAGACTGCACCGATGTGACGCGAGGCGCAGAAGAGATATTTTACCTTTTTGTTCTTCGGGTACCCCACTAAGTCGGGAAACTGGGTCTGCAGAAACGTTATTTACACTAGAGTAAGCGTAATGTGGATACACTTGGTCAGTGATGCGCTACAGTGACCACTCGATAAGAGGCATCAATCTTAACCAGTCTGGAGATATGAATAAACATGTGCATATATCTTTCCGTAAAAAAAAATTTAATTGAGTTAATTATATTATTTTTTAAAATAACTTTATAATCGAATTTTATTATGCAATTTTTAAATAATAATCGTAAAAGAACATGCAATTTTCTTATCAGTGGAAGTACATGAGTTTGTTGAGACAATATATACACATGCTTATTCATATATTATTATATGTACCTTACAATAAAAATAAAGTAATTTCAACGTATAGCAATATATATAATACATTACATGAGAAACATAACGAACAGGTATGCAATAAGAGAAAACTTATGAATATTCTTATTGATAACATGAGGTATGTAGGTAATTCCTATACGTGTAAATGCTATCTTCGTTTTGGTATAAAATCGAAATTTGGTTTCTACATTGTAACACAGATACCACACTAAATCGAATTAGCATTATATATATCTCGATAGTTATTTAAAATAATATCTTCTAAATTGCGCTATTGCGACGCGCGCAGAACAGTGTCTATCGATTACGTATTTTTCGAAGGCTTATTGTGCGTGTTCACACACGTGTAATAAATAGCACGCTATAAAAGAACACGCACAAATTATTTGATAAATAATCATACATTTACCGCGTTTTAACAAAAACGTCACTCTCGATCTCGCGTATTTTCTTAGAAAACAAAGTTTACGAATGTCTTCATAATCGCTGCTACGATTTTAATTATTATTACAAATTACGAAGCAACTCTATTACTATTGTATCGTGTTTTTTTCCTTTGGTATACGCGAAAATGTAGTGCTTACTAACACACAAAACAATGAATGAATTATCGTTTCTCGATGAAGTTCGACGAAACAAACAATTTGATTAATTGATAAGTCTAATGTTACTTTTCAAAAGCGAATAGTCTGGAAATATCGATGTTTAGATTCGATCTCTCATAAGAACACGAATTTCGACAACGTCGTCCAAATATAGTCAAAAGACAGAAAACTAGGATGTCCAGTTAATCGTACGAATTATCGGTCTTTTTTTATCGAATTGACGTCCAACTTTTTTTTCGCTATGACATTTCAGCAGACATCCTCGATCAAGCATATGGTCTTAATAATATGCAATTTATCCTTTGTAATAGTAGTGAGCATCATCTCCGGGACCGCTCGCTGGAATACTTTCCCAGGCGTGATACGGGTGAAGATGTGGAAAACTATTGTGAACGTGCACATGAATTGGTTGCGCTGACGGATATGAATGTTCTGAATGTCCGGAATGCAATTTCGCCAGGAAAGTACTGAGTTTGAGCACAAGCAGAATGACTCCTGTAAATAAAAAATTTAAACAATTAAAACAATTTTTAACAAATAATTCAAAATACAATAAGTAATAAAGAATGTCTTATAAAATCTTTTTAATAATAAATCCTTTTTGTATCTTCGCACTATGTAAAAAAATAAATTTAATAATGTCTCAATAAAAAAATAACAAAACTTAAAAAATTGTTATAGTACAACACGATATATTATATTAAATAAATAAATAAGAATTTATTCATATATTCTATAGGAGAAGAATATTCTTAATAATTCTTAATAATTCTGAATAATTTTCTTCTATAGTAGAAGAATGTATAATGTGTGTAGATAAGCGCTAAGCAAGTAAACAAAATTTGATAAAGTTAAAACTGTAAATTGTAAACACACCAAATTTATATGTGGTAAATGGGTCAGCACCTAATCATGTATGCAATCTGTGCTATCCGCAAGACAACAAGAATACCGTTACATATTTGTGCGGGTGACACTTTTCAATGCGCACGAAAGTAAGGTTTTTACCGATGAGTAATCCCTTCACTGAGATCGCTGTCAACACCATTAACATTGTCATCATCACTCCCATCTTGTACATCATTGGCATCAGCATTAATTGAAGTCTCTTGTGTCCGAAAGTGCGAGATTTCTCTGTATATGTAATAAATATAACTTAAATTAATGTCACAAGATCGTATTTATATTTAGTTACACGATTTTTGTTCTGATAACACACTAACATCTGAGAAATGCAAATTGAGATTGAAAATTATACTTTTTCGCGACACTGTTAAATCTACCGTTTCTAATTTGCATATCTTTACGATGATATAAATGTGTAAATAAAATTCTATCTTACCTTGATCCACTTCGTTTTGGAACATGTTATTCAAGTCATTCCGATGATTTCCGAGGATGTTAGAATTCAACGATAGTCCGGAAATTAATTCGAGTCTCGTGCCATTAGAATCTCGTGCGACTTCGTCACTCTGCACTTTTAAAAATTTAACATTCGCGGTACTTATTGTAAGTACGTTTTTTGCGAATGCAGCTGCCAATAACACGTAAGATAGAATCCGACCAATCGTCTTCATTCTCAAACCGGTTTACCACCACTCAGACGTCCTCATCGACACTGATTAATTTTTTTTTTTTTTTCGACCGATCTTTTTCCTTTTATCGCCTCCTTGAACCTCTTGAACCGGACTACACGAAATATGTGCTATCCGCGCCCGCACGAGTAACCGTGTGATTCCTTCTAACGAGCACCGAACGGTTCGAACTCGAAAGAGAATCGCCCGCTCGCGCTGCGCATTGACTTTCTGCGCATCTCTTTCGAATTCCTCTTCGGCGCCGATTTTACGAGCCGGACTTAAAAAAATGAGGAGAACGTCGACCTGTATGCGTAATGTTAGAAAGCATCTCTCAACACATTTTTTAATGCATGCATACACGTTATATTATACTTGTATAATAAAATTACGTAACGCATTTATATTCGTTGATTTAAAATTATTTTAATAAGTTTTTGCATGTGTGTGACAATTATTTGTTAATGTAAAACGTTCTTTTACATCTGCTTTTTTGACTAAAGTTTGTAAATAATATATTCTCTCAACAAGGGAATTTTTTAAGTAATGTTTTACCAACGTCTTTCACTTTTTACGTCACTGTCATGGTCATCGTGCAACGACCGTTCACGCATCGCCATTACCTTGAAAAGGAGTGGCTGAGTGCCAAGAGTGTATTTAGTAGGAATGCACATCGCACTGCAATTTTCCGAAGACGTCTCCCCAATGCTTCGCAACTTCCAAATATCTTACGTTTTGTTATTAAATAATAAACGGATACACGCGCGCGTTTCTTTGTCTTAATAAACGTCACTTTTCTCGGTGCTTCGTAGTGTTACCGCGCAAATTCCTAGACGCGCAACGTTAACGAGCACTTACGTGTGCAACATTGCTGCAAACAGCTACAAGATGTCTAATGTCCGTCATTAAATGACGCATTGCAATAATGTCTTCGACTTAACAACTGTTTGCTGACCTCATAACGAGATATTAGGAGGAACATAATGCGTGGTAAGATTCATTAACGATTCCACGGTAAGTAGCTCAGAGTCATGGTCGTTGATCGTCTCGTTGTGGCTTGCCTCGATACGCCTAATACTTTAGTCGATATAAATCACCTTTCTCATAGCTGTTTTTGTTATTTTGTCGCGGCTGTTAGCACCTACAAACAATCATTGAAAATAAAAACGCTAAAATTGTCACGAAAAATTGCAATTGCGTTTGAATTATTTCGCAATTTGAGACGAGATGTAGATTTTGGAGATGAAGCAAAGCGACAGAAAATTATAGGCTTGGCGGGAAAATTGTTAATGAGAATGAAAACTGTTTGAAATGATGTAATGACGAAGTAATAATAAATCGCTTTGAACGTTGTGAACGCACCGTAAGTAAAGGCAGACAGTGAGGCAAGAAAAGCAGTACAGGTTTATTGCATCGTCTTTGCGCAGTGAATCCAGTACGGACGAGAGAGGTGAGAGGGAAGAAGTAAGGAGCATCGCGCCGAACGAGAGAGAGAGACTATCTTGGAAAATAAGTTCCGCTGTAAAAATCCGTCGCTCTTCTCTCCGCGGCCATCTCGACTCTAAGGGGAGTTCTTCCCCCCTTCTTCGTGTGATCGTTCCGTCGAGTCTCGATTCCTTCAAGGACTAAAAATTCAACCCTTTACAAAGGCGAGCGGGGAGCGCGCGCGAGTGTAGAAGCTCTGTATTAAACATGAACCTGAAACCCGGTCTGATCCGTATTTATACCGCATTCGTACCGGATTAACTTTCGTTCTTTTTACTTTCTTTAGATGTGTTTTAATTTATTTTAGAATTATATTCGCTGGAATTATATTCTGGGTCCGGTTAAGTTGCTCGTTTGATTTTAAAACTGTGAATTAATTAAAGTGCACGAAGTTTTGAGATTTTTTTTAACTTACATATCTTTCCATTACATATTGGGGTTTTTTTTTTTTTTAAGTGGTATTCCAGAGATAGTGAATTCAGTCTTTTCGTATGCCTGTAAGCGCGTACGATCTTCGCGCTCTAAAAATGCGCATGCCGAGCAGGTAGTCACATACATGGTGTATACTTGTATAATTTCTTCGTTCTCTTTTTCTTACACATATATTGCGAGAAACATGTTTTTATACTCACGTCACTTGTAATTGTTAAACGATCTGAAATAAACGGACTTTCTCGGAAGATCCAAAAAAAAAACTACCGTTTACCGGACACGTTAAAATTGAAAAAAAAAAAAAAAAAAAAAAAAACGATAAGATTTATTTACACCGCGCACAAAATTGCAGTGTTCGGATCAGACAACTTTGATTGTCATTTCCGCGCAGGAAACACAACCGGTCAGCCACATCGCCACAACCGAAGCTCGTTTCCCTTCGAACCAACTACTACCCCGAAGAAGCGCGTAGAGGGGCACCCGCAAAAATGGAAATGCCAGGTTGTTATTCATCTACAGGTTCGCTTCTTCGTCCGTGAGCAGCCTCCTCTCGGTGTCGTGCTTTAGGCGATGGTATGTGTATCACCATGCGTGTGCCATAGCTGACCATAGACCGGCTCAGAAGTGGCCGAGACATTCGCCTCTCGACCGCGACCATGAGAGCACTCAACTCTCGACGCCCACGGTCGATCACGAGCATCCATCGACTCGTGTCTCGTACAGTTCTCTGCTTCTTCCTTCTGCTCTGCGTCCTTCACGACGCGCGAGCGCGTAGTGTGCCTCACGATGACGATGGTGTTGCGGCCGATCAAGTGCACGGCAAGATTTCGGAACCGGTGGAGGTGAGTGACACCAATTCCGACGGCGTAAACAAAGAGACGGAAAACGCGAACCGAGCGCGAAGTTTGACGGAGGAAGAATACAACGAAGACGACGGAAGAAAGATTCCCGTAAAAGAGATATCCATTGACGATTCCGAGAAAATCCAGGTCGAAGCCGACGAAGGCAGTGTGGCGAAAAAGAGACGAAGAAACGACGTGACGCTTTTCGGTAAATCCGTGTTGCAAGAGAGCGGTCTCGGGCGGGACGTAATCGCGGGTAAAGTGCAGAAGGACGAGGGCATTCGACGATTCGACGCTCAAGTCGAGTCGGACGACATCAAGGACTTGGGACAACGAAAAGTATTGGATATCACGGAAGATATTTCGGCTTCTCAAAAAGATGACAGCAACAAGGAAAGGCGAGTGATTGTTACCGATATAAATCCCGTAAACGAAGGTGAGACAATATCAGAAAGAAAAAAGGACGCAGAGGTGCCTTCCGATGTTTCAGAAAACCTGAAGAAGACCGCGAATCTGGACGAAGCAGATTTACACAAAGAAGAGACGGGACAAGTTGAGAAATTAGAGGAACATTACTCGGACGAGTCACGAATCGAGAATACTGAAGAGGTGCGCAATGATCTGCGAAGCTTGAAGCTTGCCGATAAGACTGAAAGTGAAAGGAATCAGGAGGAACATGTCGCAAACGATGCACCGAAAGCTGAAGAAATCGAAGATGAAAATCTGAACAGAGAAAACAGACACTTAACTTCAGGTAAGTCCAAGTCCAAGAGTTCGACTATTTATCTGAACGCAGAAGAGGGAAGTTTGCCCGGTCGCGAGCAAGAATCGATCGTGGACGGTCAGATAAAGAAATTGATATCTATACGAGATGATGCTCTCGAATCGGTCGAGAGCGGCGTGAAACAGTCGGAAAAGTCGATGGACATTGACATAGTTGACGTAACAGACAAGAAATTGCGCAATTTACGCAGCAGCAACGCGAACGACGCTTTGACTCTGAGTGAGAATCTCGATCAACCGGCGACAGAGGGGGTTCCCAATCGCCTTCAAAAGTGGAAGAATCAAGCCGCCCTGCTTCAGGAACAAATCAAAAACAGAACGTTCCTTCAGTACGTAAGAGAACAAGCGATCGAGGTGCTTCCTGACATTCCGAAATTCACTGAGATTCAGTTGTTGGAAACGATGAAAACTATCGCGCAAACGCGGGCGAAACCTTCGAATGAGACGTACTCAGCCGGTCTGAACGCAACTGAATTGAGCAAGGAGCAAATGGAAATTATAAAGTGCGCCGAGCAATTGGTGGAAACGAAGCAGCGACAGTCCTTCATATCGAACATGTCGGATTGCATTCGCAGTCTCAATGTTCTGAACTGCTTGCGCATCTTCGTCTGGCCTGTCGTGCTCGACAATCTTCCGCAGCCGGTCAGAGATTCGTTGAACAATCTACCAGTTGAGATAAACCTGATCGACTTGTTTCAGGGTAACAGAGCAAAGTCCGCGAGATTCGACGGCAATGTGCATCGTGCGAAGCTGCTGACACCGGAATCCGTCGTTTTCAACATCCTGAGAAACGCTCTGGAGACGAAAACCAGCTACGATCAGACGCCGACGTTCATCGACCCGAAGAACGAAACTCTGAAAGGGCTCCTCACGATCGGCCAGATTCAAATTCTCCAGATGGCCGAGAAGCTTCTGCCGGGTGATGCGCGGCGCGATTATTCCGACAGAATGTTCTCGTGCGTGCGCAGATTCGAATACTTCAGTTGCGTCAAGTACTTCGCCTGGCCGACGATCAAGCAGCATTATCCGTCGCTTCCGCCATTTCCGGATTATCAGAGCTGGTATCCGACGATACAATTTTATCCGCAGTATCCGATCGTTCCCTTTCCCAGTTACGTCGGATCCTCAGGCGAGCTTCCAGAAGTCGTGGACGCGGACGCCACGAGAATGCGAAGGCCGGAGGCGGTGATCGTGGACATTCTTCAGAACACTCTGCGGGAGCACGCGAAAGTACCACCTCCGTCCGTCACTTACAACACCGATTCCTACGTTGCTCTGCTCCCTCCGGAACAATTGCTGTCTATTCACATGGCCGAACAATTTCTTCCAGTTCAGTACCGTTCGGAATTCGTTCAGAAAACCGTCAAATGCATCCAGGATCTTAATTATCTGACTTGTATCAGATATTCGACCTGGCCGACAATCCGACAGTTCTTTCCCTCCGTGCCGAATATTACCGATTGGTTACCGAATTTATCCGACTGGCAGTTATCCAACTGGCAGTTCTCCGACATCTTGCCGCAATTTCCATTTCAATTACCCGATGTATTCTCGTTTATACCGAGTTTCGGTGGCGGAGGAAGCGCATCACCGGCAGCCGAATCGGAATCCGGTGGTGGTGCCTCCTCGGAAAAATCGTCTAGTCGAATCCCCGCGATATTGTTTCGTCAGAGTGAGCCTTCTTCCAAGACGTCCGGCGAGTTAGAAAACAAGATCACGGAGATTTTAATGAACGCGCGCAATTCTCTGAGAGCGAAATCGGAAAATTCACTGATTGGCAACGAAAACATAATAGTTCTCACGCCGATCACTGAGAGGCAACTTAACATACTCAAACTAGCGGAGAGTCTTGTGCCGTTTGAAGCTCGAGCTCCTCTCGTTACTCAGGTTCTATCTTGTCTTCGAGCTAATAACGACTTTTACAATTGCACCAGATATATTATTTGGCCCACGGTTGCGCTCTACGTTCCTAACTTCCCTGAATTTCCCACTTTGCCATCTGATCCAGAATCTCCGAAACCGGAAGAGACGTCGCAGCAGACGTTGCTGCAAAATACGAGCTCGTCCCAACAACCTGCTAAAGATCAGACAAAAGACAAGACAAACGCGATAAATGAAAATGCCGCGAATCCCAACGTAAAAATTATCTCCAGGACGAAATTTCCGCAGAACAACGGTCCTGTCATCAGCGTGACCGGAACGTCATTCGTGCCGATATTTACCGAACATCCCGAGTCGGTGATACTTAACATTCTCAGATCGATACATTTGTCCGTGCCGAACGTACAAGAGAATCAGGTTATCTCGAACTCTAAAAAGCAAGAATTCAGCGATTTGCTTAACGATCGACAGACAAATATTGTTAAAATAGCGGAAAATCTACTGCCCGACGCTCGTCGTCCCGCATTCGTCAATCGAATGTTACAGTGTGTTCTCAATAATAACTTTTTGACGTGCTCGAGAGACGTGTTGTGGCCGGCTCTCTCGGAATATTATTCGAGGCTGCCCAGTTTTCCTAATTTCGGAACGAATCCTTTGTCGAGCAACAGCAAGCCCGCGGTGGTTCAAAATCTAACCGATCCGTCGCCATTCTCGGAAACCAACGTTAAAATCGGTCAGCATGGCGACGCTACTGTTACAATCACTGATACAAGATTCTTTCCTATCTTCACGGAACATCCGGAAGGTGTGATTTTGAACATCCTTAAAGCGGTGCAGCACGCCGCACCGAGTGGTGTTCTAAACACCATGATTATCTCCAGATCGCCAGAAATTATGAGATACTTTACGGAACAGCAAGCTAACATTGTTCAGATCGCCGAGAGTTTGCTACCGGAATCAGTGAGGCCAGTATTCGTGGAGAGAATGGTCACTTGCGTTCGTGAAACCATGTTTCTCGAGTGTACCAGAGACATAGCTTGGCCGACCATCGCTCAATTCTTCCCGAGACTGCCGAATTTTCCAAATTTCGGAAGCTACCAGAGTACGCCGAGAATGAAAATTGATTTAGCGTCCATTTTATTGCGCAACGCCTATCCGGAGAATCAAACGTCCAACGAAAAGGCCGAAAATACATTAAAGACTGCCGTGGAAATTATCGAGGAAAAAATAGAAGATGTGCTGAAGAATTTACCGAACAAAGATCCGACGCTGCGTGTGGAGAACTCATATCTTGACGTGAATAATCCCGCGATAAGTTCTCTTCTCTCAGCTCGAGAAATGAGTATCGTCAAATTAACGGAAAAAGCGATACCAGACACGATACGTCGCGCATATGTAACCAACATGCTCGAATGTATGAGAAGCAACAACTTTATTACTTGCACTCAACATATCAGCTGGCCGACTTTGAGACAATTCTTTCCGAGTGTGCCTACCTTCGACGACATAGCGGGCCAGTTGCCTGGCGGCGGTCAGAGTCCTAGTGGCGGTCAATTTCCTGGTATCAGTCAAATTCCTGGTGTCGGTCAATTTCCTGGTGTCGGTCAATTTCCCGGTATCGGCCAGATTCCTAGTGGCGGTCAATTTCCCGGTGCTAGTCAGATTTCTGATATTATCAGTCAAATTTCTGGTGGAGGTCAAATTCCCGGCATAAGTCAGATTCCCGGCTCCGAATTTGCAGGACCTATAATTACAAATCCTTTTGCTGACGGTTCCAATATACCTTCTTTTCCAATACCCTCGCCTCCTCAAATCACGATCCCGGGTCAATTTCCATTCCAACCTTCTATTCCTCAATTCCCTTCCATCGGATTTCCTGGTTTCGGTGGTTATCAGCCACAATTCAGCATTTTGTCGACCGCACCGCAGCAGCTGAAACCTCTTATATCGAAGGAATCGCAACAAGAGTCGGTTCAGTCCAGAGTCGCGCACACAGAGACGAATCAGATAAATGGAGTATCGAGAGCTGCGAACACTCCGTCAGTAGGTGAATTAGTCTTTCCCGTTAAACCCAGACTAATATTTTCTTTTTGATATTTAATTTATTGATATCGAATGTTTCATTTTTTCAGAAAAAGGAACACCGCATATCGTCCCCGGATACCTTGGACAACCAACGAACATCTTCATAGATATTTCCAAGGAGAAAGTTCAGTTGTCTGACATTGAACGAAAACAAGGTCCATCGCCGAAGCCCAGTCCCTCGGATTCATCGTTGAGAGCACACAAAAGAAGACGAAGAAGCACCAAGGAAGAGTTATTGAATTCTTACTACGAGACGAATGATGAAATCGAACGGGCTTCGAAAACGATAACAGGCACAATGTTTCCAAACATCACGGAAACCGAGTTTCTTCAGCTTTTAGTCAATATTTCCAAGTTAAAGAAGCCATTGGAGAAGAGGCCAGCGGAGAATTCGAAAGAATATTTTGTAGATACATTAAATTCTACAGTTAAAAACTCTCTGACCGCCGATCAGTACGAGATATTAAAGCTGGTGGAAGATTTGGACGAGCGCGTCACAACTCGAGGTTTTCTGTCGCAAGTAATCAACTGTCTACTCAGTTTGAGCTTTATCAAATGCATGGGTATTTTCATCTGGCCTCTGATCATCAACAACGTACCGTCGTTGATCGATTTATCGTCTGCGTCCATCTCTAGTCTCGGTATCCTCGGAAGATCGACAGAAGCCGAAGTGCAGCATTACTTCGGCATGTCAACGAGCGATTTCGAGAAGGAACTGCTGACGAGAAAGGAGTCTGTTGAACATCTCTTTTTAGATTGGTATCAGAAGCTAATGGAGGATAAATTTCAGGCAGACTTCGGTATTCTGAAGATCAGAGGCTACGGGAACGGCGAGGTGGGCGTCAGCCTCGGCGAGTATCGCGAAGGCAGAGCTACGAAAATCAAGGACAACAAAAACTTGCCGAGTATTCTGACGATCATCAGCGATATCATGGAAGAAGTTTTGGATCAGCGACCGGACAATGAGAAACTTAAGAAAGAAAAGGAGAAGAGAGAAAGAAGTCTAGATGATACACAGGAAACGGACTTTCAGTTTCTAAAAGAGAGCGACGAGAACGCAGAAATTAAACGATCAATGAACGACGAGCAGATAATCACCATGTTTCTAGATAAAATAAAAGCCAACGCGACAGATTTCGCTGAAGGTGACGTCACAAAATATTTCAACGTGGAAGATGCGTACAACGCTTTCAGCGTACTCTTCGGGAGCCGGTTGAATAAGAAATTTGTGAGTAGATTTAAAGTTTTTACCGAGGAAAATCTAAAGAAAATAACCGAAAACCACGCGAAGGAGCAGAGCACAGAAGAATTGAAAGTAATACCCTTGAAGACGCAGGTGATTTATGATCTTGAGAAAGAGTCTGTAGAGAGTCATCAGGAACGCGAAAGAGAACATCGCGCGAAGAATGAATTCAGATCTCTGTTGGATAAATACTCGGACATGCTCGTGAAAGGCATTTCTATTAAAAAGATCGAAGATCCGGATAACGAAATTAAGATGAACGACACCGAATCGTCTTCTAAGAAGAGCAAACGCTCGGAATTGAGGATCTATTTGCCACGTTTGCAAGAGGATATCACATCCAGAAAAATCACGAGCGAGATGGTGCATCTCGGAAAAGCGTTGAAGACGAAGATGAGTAATATGATGCCTGGAATTGGTTTCATTATAACCTTCCTCATTCAAATGGCCCTGGCTCATGCGAGAGCGGCTGCCACCATGGCCGGGATGATCAGCAACATGGCTCTCGCATCAGCCATGTTCGGCATGATTCGGCAAAATCTCTTCGGATCGGACAACCCGAAGATCAAATACGTTTATGATAATGACAAGACTGGTCCAGGAATCACTTGGCCTCATAATCCTCATTACGACTCTTACTATCACGGAAAATAGCATTAAATTCTTTTGATAAAGTTTACTTTTAATTTTTTACGTACGGAAACCTTAGGTACACGTACTTAGGAATTTTTTCGAAGTCGAAAATCGAATTTTATTGGGTTAGCTTTAATTTTTTGTACTATCATAATAATATTGTGGCCGCGTTCATAAAAAAAATCATGATTTTTGAATTGTATAATCTTCTGTGATTAAAGAAAAGTTTATAATTTCTTGAAAACGTCAGTGTCGAAAAGATAATCATCGAACATTTTTTTATGAATGTGTCCATTGTTCTTCTTAAATTTTATTTGCGATTTAGTAACACAGGTTTCATAGAGTATCCTCTCTAAGAGATTTTAGTGTAGATAAACATAGAACCCCTGAAGAAACGGTATTCTCGTAGATGATTATGGAAACAATTCCTCGCAATTTCATTATAATATGCAAGAAACACACACACACACACACACACACACACCATATATATGTATTTCACAGGAAATATTTATTTCATTGTCATAAATGGGATTTTACGGTGGAGGGTAACACTTTTTCATATTTTTTTAGAGGTCATACAATACATAGATTAAAAAATCTCATGCGGTATATTGCAAAATAAAAATATTGAATTACTAGTATAAGTTTTATAAGTAAGACTGATGTGCTCTTTGATTGCATATGAAATAAATGGTGTGTTACTTTTATCTTATGTAATTGTTAATTTTCTTCCATAAAATTATAATAATTAAATAATTAAATAAGATATTTCAATTGTCTGTGTGAATGAAATATTTTAATATTATTAAAATATCACAAAATTTGGAAGCTAAATTAAGCAGAAGAGAAATCGCGATAAAATATTTATATTAAATAATAATATTAATAATATATTTGTGAGTAAACTCGTGCAGCATCACTTTCGTAACTCTACCGGCGCTACAAGTTCCAAGAACCTTGAGAAGCCAGCTTCGAATGCTTAGAAATAGATTCGAGATTATTCTTGACTACACACCGAAGGTCTTCTCCGTTCATTTCTTCTTTCCTTTATCTTTTTGCCAGTTCTACGCCAGTTGCGCGCGGCAAAAAAGTGCACCGAGAGACGCAACAAGAGCACAAGGAGACCGGAGTCAAGATCGCGGGGCACACGCGATCTCCGGAACGTTGAACTGCCATGAAAGCGAAATAACAAGTTACCCTGGAATTCTATAAATGTAGCACTCTGACAGTTTTACATCAACACAATTAAATGCATTCACTATTTTTGTAAAACAATACAAAATAACACGTTAAAAAATTATAACATATTAAAATACAAAATATGTACTTCTAGTCAACTAGAAGCGGCAAAACGGAAGGAATTTCTTCCTCGATCGTTTTTGACTCGTTTTCGTATTTGATTTCCTCCATGACGGATTTCATTTCAATTTCCGCAGAATAAGTCAACGCATTCAAATAGTACCTATTTACATACAATGCGAGCAATCATTATTTTATAATAAAAATGTACAATCTTGCACGAAAAATCAAATGTGAGATACCACTCGTGGGCGCGCAGACAATCGACGTCTTCCTCGTCTGAGCAAATACGTTGTTTCTGATTGAATATCGTATTGTTGAAACATATCACCGGGAATCCGTTGCCGGCATTGTCACAAACGTGAAAAATCTTGCAGTTGTAATCCATATCTGCATAAAAACCGGACGACATGCCTTCGCAAGTGAAACGAAAAGTTAAATTTCCGAAGATATCGGTGTCGTTTTGTTCGTTCGATATTTCCTCGTATGTTTCCAAGCGATTTCTGTCCTGCGTGTGCAAAAACAAAAATGTAACTTGCTTTATAAAAAAAAAATTACAGTAACTCTCTGGTTCCGCATTTAATACGAGCTTAGAAAAAAATGGATTCTTACAAAATAACCCAAAACGAGTTGGTCAGTCACTTCTGTATAACAAAAAAATATATATATCAATTTTTAGACTTAAGTGCGATATCTCAGTTTAAGTTAATTTTGACTCACTCGAAATTAATAAAAAATTAAATACATATATTATGAAACAATTCATTGTTTCTGTGTATTAATGACGATTCTTTTTAAATAGTAAAAATTCTTGTTACTGATGTATGAGACGCGAAATTGAAGAACACACTGTCACTCGCTGGATTACTCGCTGGATAACGCAACCGACTACTAGTACTACCTCAAACTCTTTGTTTGAGAACTCGAAGACTCAATGACTTTAATAGCCGTGTAATTTCAGGAAAGGTCCGCCATTCTTTCTCATTATCGTTTAAACGATGCTTAAGTATTGTATCCTGCTTTATGTTGCAAGATATTTCAGAAAAGCCAAAGTGTTACCGTCATGGCAAATACTTATCCGTGTACTTCGTGCAAGGTAGTATATAAAAAGATATTTAAATATGTATTTGTAAAAAAGAAAATATATTGAAAACACCTTTTAAAATAAACTCGTTTATTGAAATTTTTTTAAAAATCACCAATCTTGTATTATTTTTAAAAACATTTAGTTTAATTTTTGTTTACTCTCTGAAATGTTTATTTAGATTTATCTACTCACCAACAGATGTCAGCTTCATGCCGTAAATCGCACGAGTCACTCGAGTACCGAGGCAACTGTCCGAAGATACTTTCACTAGCACTAACCAATCCTAAGATACCGCTTATTTTGCTAACTTTCTTCTACCGCGGTATTATCAGGATCGTATCATATGTTAAAAAGAACATAGGATGTTTTATATACAGAAAAATTATATATTTTCAATTTTTCTTAATTTTAACAACAACAGAAAATAAACTTTAACGATTAAAAAAATATTTTTTTTTCTAATATTTCTTAAAACATCAAGGAAGTTGTGTTCAATTTTGCACGCTGTGATTATATTTTGATTAGATTTCTTAAAATTACCGTAGCTAATCAATAGCGATTGTTTTCGAGATAAAAGATAAAATTTATTAAAATGAGTCGCGCGTCAGTAGCAAAAGGTGGGATGTCTACGAAAGGACAGCATGCATTAACTGCCAATGAGGCAGGCCTTACTTCTCAGGCCTGCCTTTCTCTTTGCCTCCGAGCCTCGGCTCAGTTTTCACGGCAGCTTCACCAAGGAACCACATGCAGAATGTCCTGAAGATACGCGGCAAAAGCACACTCGTATATTTCTCTCCTTGTTTATCTCTCTCTCTCTTTCGTGCCTCTCGCTCCTGCATGGTGGAAGAAAAAGGATGACCCGCACGGCGGCGAATATGTAACCCCGGGGATACCAGCGGTGCATCCTTGAAAGAGACGATCTTCGTGCTTCTGAAGATTTCTGGGCAAAGTGCAATAAGGTATCACGAATATTTCTGTGACAAATCGCGAGAATTTGTCAATCTTAAAATAGTTCGAGAAAAAAAACGAACTCGAGGGAAATGTCATTTTGTCAAATTAATCAACTGACGTCGGAGCAATCAGGTATGACGTTGACGTTTGAAAATTATCAATAAGAAACAGATTATCAATCCGTTGTTTTAAGTTTCGTTACATCTTTAAGTACAAAAACGGTATTAAATCCGCAAAGTTCTCGGGTGAGTGTCCACGTGAGTGTGTTTAGATGCGTCATCTCTCCGGTTCTCAGCGTACGATGCGCGGTTTAACAAAACGTTACGTTTCTACGTCTGTACTTGAAGTAACTGTCCTTAATATCTGACTGAATTCCGCATTGTTCTTTTTTTTTTTTTTTTTCCATCGCGCACTTAAAGTTTTGCGACGTCGAACTTGCGTAATAACAAGCACGTCTTTAGTAGTTGCAACAATATTTTACCTTGCGTTTAAAATGTCAAATTGTTTCTGCGTTCTGTTGAGAAGTGACGCGTATTCGTGAAAAAAAAAAAAAGATCGCGTTACAAAACAAAAACTGCACGATGCAAAATGCAAGGATGTTCAAATGCCGCAGAATCCGCACAAGGACGACCGGTGAAACGAAATCACATCTGTTTTCTCTCTTTCTCTATCTCTCTCTGAGTCGCATCAGAGAAATGCAACGAGAAGGCGCGTTTGGATTCTACGAGAGAACAACCTTTTCTCTTTAATAATAAAATATTATTTCAGTATCTATCGACTAATATCGGTACGATATCTCACGGTGGGTACGCGAGTGTGCGGTTTCTTTTTACGTAAGCCGACTGTGGCTGCGCTAAACAACAGCTCTAATTGATAGACTTTCGGAAAGTGGAGCGCGCTAGTTCTTTTGCCGCGTCGCGCTGTTCTTTTTCCGCTTTCGAGAAACGGAAGTACGTCTCGCATTCTGAAACCTGTCTTTTTATTATAGCAATTTTTCTTATCGAGTTTCTAAATATTTTCCCACATCTCGATGTGAGTAAACCGTTAGATCGATATGAGCGAGATAAATCTACAATAAATATATCAAGTACTTTTAGAATGCATTATGTCGGTATTGATACGCGCGCCGATAATTTTTTTTTTTTTTTATATAATTCTGATATGAGTTTGTGTGCGGAGTCACGAGAGATCAACGTGATTCGGTCCAGTGGCTATTTCCTTGGTTTAAATTAGCGAACGAGAAAGAGAAATAGAGAGACCAGATGAAATAAGTGAAAGGCACCTGTTTTTCCCAGCGTATCGCTTCGCTTGCGAACGTTATCACCTCAGTCGGTCGCAAATTCGCAGATGTCACTGTCTGGCGAAAATCAGTAGAACGATTGTCATTTAGGATCGCGATCGCGTATTTTGATCACAAGTCGGTGCTTTCGCACAAGCCGAAAAGTGCATGAATTTTTGCCGAACAGACACGTCTTTCAAGTGCAAGATAAGTTTGATAAAAATATTTTTCTAACAAACAGATACAACGCGCGCGTAGAACATCGGCCGGATATGTGCTGTTCGTTTTTTTTTTTTTATACGTCATGTGCTCGTCAGCGTATTAAATCGCCAGCGTTGCACAAACACGGTTAAACTAGATCACGGTGCCTTTTTCTTTTTATCTTCTTGCTCGTTGAATTACTAGGGCTGTAATAAGGCATAGTTCTCCATTTCTCAGATCGGTGGGTCTCACGATTACTTTAATTACACGCCGCCGTTAATTGCGGGAGGCTTCGCCAACGACGATTCTCGATTAGCAGATGCTGCGCGCTCTATTGAAAGTATATAACTCGCTTTTTGTTATCGTGCGATTGTTGATTAACAACAAAGTGAAACTTGTTAATAAAATACAAATCTTGACGCAACTCGCAAACAGAGATGATAAACAATTTCAGCAAAATATAAACATTTATTGATGAGAAGTTGATTGCACATGTTTTCACGGCCAAATGATCTTGTCAAACTCACGACGAAGAAGATCAGATGATGATCAGATGATGAAAGGAGGTCGGTTATACACGGAGAGATTGTGTTTGCTTAATCGTCGTGCGTTTCGTAAGAAAAACGATCGATTTGCAATAAGCGCAGCGTAGCTCCGCGCGTAACCGTCAATTTTCTATCGAAATTTTACGCACGGTTACGCAGGTGGGGATCGTCGTCTTCGCGGTAAGTCGCACACATCGGTGAAAACTGGGATTGGTCTAATTGCGTTAACATTTCCGGATGGACAAGCGTCGCTTTCGTAATTGTTGTTGCAAAGCGTGCAACAACGCATCGTTTGATGCGCAGATTAAGCGCTTGTAACTTATAATTTGCGATGTGAGAAAGCTACGATCGCACGTGAAGTTTTGCCCGCGCCTGTTCTTTTCTAGAATCGCGTGGGAGAAGCCGCGTCGTCGATGCGCGACGGACGAATTAATTAATGGACGAACGATGATTCGGCGAGGCCAACACATCATCGCACGAAATATCTGTTTTCTCGCGATGCGTAGGTCACATCGTGCGTAGGTCGCGCGCGTCTTCTGAAAAGAGCCGTGTGTCTTTCTCAAGGCCGGTCTTCGGACTATCATCGGAGATCTCAGCGAGTTTAGTCACCCTCGCACGCCTCGGCATCGAGAAATCGCGGGATACCGGTGGACTCGCGTGGGATAATAAGCAGCGAGATCGGATCGCGATTTCAGCGAACGATGGTAATCGCATTTGCTTAAACGCGGGTCATGAGGACAAAGAACTGTTCGACAGTTCGCTGGAAAAAGATTTTCAGAGAAGCGATCGCGAGTTTTAAAGAGCTATTTTGTTTGTTAGACGTGCGTTTATCTCACTCGCATGCTTTATCGGTGTATCGATCTGTTGCGTACACACGATGAACCAAGATAGTTCACAAAGCGAAGTTTCCCACATTTCGCGCGTTGCATCACGAAATGACTAATCGAAACTCGAATGTAAACAATATCGCTGTCTTACATCTTCTTCGCGCTTTCCTATCGCTATGAAATTTTAAAAAAATTTCTGTTTTTCTCGTACAGGTTAAAATGTTATCGCCACTGCTACTTCTGGGCATGGCCCTGTACGTAATGGGCGGCTACGTGCCACCCGGGCCGAGGTTCCGATGTCCCAGAGAAACGATGTACATCTATCCCTGCACTTGTTTGCGGGGCAGCGACAAAGGTCTGTACGTTCGCTGCGAAAACACGAATTTGGCCAGCCTCAGCATCGCCTTCTCGAATCTGGGCAACGAGGGCATGCCGATCGAGGAACTGGTTCTGTACAAATGTAACATAGGTGAGCCGACTTGATTCCCGCGTCGCGGGAAAAAACAAAACTCAGATTCAACATTCCCGTGGCGAGTAACAAAATAGACTCGGGAATGATGTTGTTTTTCTTTTTGCGGACCAGTGAGATTTTACGGACCCGCCTTGTATCCGTTGGACGTGCGAGTGCTGAAGTTCATTGACACGCCGCTGAGGCTGATCGAGAAGTACAGTTTTCTCGGCGTGAACAGAACCCTTCAGGAACTCCACGTGACAAACAGCAACCTGGAAAACTTTCCGCGCGAGGCACTGCAGATCCTCGGTAATCTCAGTCTGTTGAGCATCACCGGCCACCGGATGTCTGTCTTGCCGGGAAATAGTTTTGGTGAAAGCGCGGCGGCCGCCAAGTTGGAAAAATTGGAGATCAGTAACGGTAATCACACAGTCATCGTAAGGTATCATCAATAGAAAATATACGATCTTGTTATTTGTGTCAATCACGGGATTCGAAAGCGACGTAATGTCTGTGAAATCGGCGTTTGATGCTGAGAACGTGAAAAGATACACTTCACATAATTCCTTTTTTGTCTATAAAATTGATGTCATAAAGTATTACAATCGTTAAGTATTATCGTTATTATTTCCGTTATACTTTTTAGGCACGCTCTCTTCATTGCCTGTGGAAGCGGTAACGCCGTTGAAAAAATTGAAATCGCTCGATCTGCATGGCAATAAGATAAAAGATCTGAAGAGAAATCAGTTTAAAGGACTGAGAGACACCGAATTTTTGGATCTGTCTCACAATTTGATCGACAAATTGGACGCGTCTCACTTGGCCGATCTCACCAAGATGGGATGGTGCAACATGTCGCATAATGCTATCACCGATCTCAAGAGGTTGATTGAATTTAAAAAAAGATGTTAATCGTCTGAAAATCAAATCTCCGCGACGTCGAGTATCTAAGATATTGATTTCGTTTTAGAGGAACCTTCGCTCGAAATTCCGTGCTGAAGGTCTTAAATTTGAGTCACAATAAGATCAGGAAGTTGGACTCGAACACTTTCCGCGGCATGCGTTTTCTCAGACGACTGTACCTGAGCGACAACCAAATCGACGACGTCGGTCGCGGAACCTTCGGATCGATCACCAGAATCGGCATCATCGATCTCGCTCGTAACTTCATTAAAAAGATCGACTTCCAGATGTTCAATCAGCTGCAATTTGCCGAGGTGCGTTCATTGTTTCTCGAAAATTACAACTCGTATCGATTTTAACGCAATTATTTTTTTTAATAATAAATTTGTCATTAGCTTCTGGACGTTTCCGAGAATTTTGTTACGGTTGTGGAGAAACTGGCGTTCAAAGATCTCTATCTGACCAAAGTAAATCTGTCTCACAACGAAATTTCGAAGATCGAACCGAGCGCGTTCGAGAATTGCGCTAATATCACGTTGCTGGATCTCAGCCACAACAAAATTGAGAACATCTCCAAGTATTCATTCGACAGCACGTCGTACGCGATGGAGTTGCAGCTGAGTTACAATCTCCTCACGTCTCTAAATCAGGCGAGTACATTATTTCTTAATATACGAACGATCGCGATATAATTATATCGTACTTCGTTATAACTAATTCACGTCACGTATCTTATTTTATTTTTATATTCAATTGTTACACATTGAAGATTAAAGAAAGTACATTCTCCGTGCGCAGGTTCCGTTGCACAACATGACGGGATTGAAGATCCTGAACGTTTCCCACAATTTGATACACTCCGTTCCACGACAGACTTTTCCTAAGTTGTACGAGCTCCATACAATCGATCTTTCGCACAACAATCTGTCCGAGATTCACAACGCCATATTTCAAACGTTGTTCAGTCTGCGATTTCTAAATCTGTCTCACAATTCTCTTGAGAAAATCAAACCGTCCACTTTTGGCCCGCTGCCGACGCTTTTGGAACTCGATATGAGTTACAATCAATTGAACGACGTCGCGCGCGGTAGTTTGACTCGATTGGCCAGCTGCAGGTTCGTTATTCGCATTGTTTGTCAATGAAAAAAAAAAAAAAAAAAAAAACAATTGTCTTTCACACAATTTTTTACTGTAAATTGCAGAAGTTTGACGGTGAAGAATAATCATCTGACAAAGATCTTCCAACTGCCGATTTCTTTGGGCTATTTGGACTTTTCGGAGAATCTACTGGAAGAAATTCCGAGCACTGACGTCTGGCCCACGATGAACGCGTTGCTTTCGCTAGATCTTTCGCGGAATCAGTTAGGCGATAACCTGCAAGAAGGTAGCTTCGAAAACCTGCTGACCTTGAGAACTCTGAATCTACAAGCGAACAATATCACGAAGCCGCCGTGGCAAGCGCTGAGCAGTTTGAGCAGTTTGCAGTATCTTTACTTACAAGTATTAAAACAAAAATCTAAAGAAATATTTAAAAAATTATTTTTATGTGCGAATGTAATTTAAAAAATTAAAAAAAAAAAAAAACTTTAGGACAATCACCTAACAAAATTGGAGAAAACCGCCTTTGGTCGCTTGCCGATAGTGTTCGAGCTGAACTTAGCGAACAACAACATAAACAATGTGACAAATCGCGCATTCGAGGGCCTGCTGCAACTTCTTACGTTGAATCTGACGAACAACAACATCAGTCACATACCGAACGGCGCGTTTCAGGGTCTAGTGTCTCTGAGAACTCTCGATCTGTCGCACAATAAATTGGAGAGGCTGGACAACAAAACGAACGGATTGCTCGACGACTGTCTGTCGTTGGAGAGAGTCAATCTGAGCCACAACAAGATCTCGTTTCTCACTCGGAAAACTCTGCCGAACGATCCCTGGATCCCTTACAGACTAAAGGAGGTTGACTTATCGTACAACGAAATGCCGGTCGTCACATACGATCTCATCGCCGGCGGCAAGAAGATTCAATATTTGAATCTCTCTCATAATAACATTAATGAGATTAGGAGATGTGAGTATGAATGTAACAGGGAATGTTATTTTACTAATTACTCTAATTACTTAGCAATTAACGCTGGTTCGCATAAATTTCTGCTGAAGGAATATAAGAACATTGTTGAATTTCAGATATAATTGGAAATTTAACGTCTCTGCAAACTTTGGATCTGTCGTACAATGACTTAAGCGATGTGTCCGAGCAAGACGTGTTTCTGCCGCCATTAAATTTGACCAATTTACATCTGAGTAACAATCATCTGAGTTACGTGCCTCTCGATAAGATTTTGCCGCTACCGAATCTACGACTTCTCGATATTGAGGAAAACGAGATTGGCGTCTTCGACAAGAAGTTTATGAAGATTATCAAAAACGGCACGATCCTCAAATATTCCGGTAATAAAAAATTAAATTTAATGTACATAAATAAATATATACAATTTAAATAAAATTTAAATTAAATTTTTAATCAAAGTACTTTCTTATAACTGTTGTGTATTAAAATGTACTTTTAATTAGGAAATCCAATGCACTGTGATTGTCACGCACGACCATTGAAACGATGGCTAAACGCTCAAACGAAAATTCCGACGGAATGGTCGAACGTGACGTGCCGGAGTCCGAATTACGTTGCGAACAAATTTATCTCGGAAGTAACCGAGGATCTCATGAACTGCGGCGAACGGGACATTAAGGAAGAACCCGAACTCGATATCAATCCCGACGTAAAATATCGAAATATCGAGTAGTACGTATCTTTATATTCCATTGATTAAAAAAAAAAAAAATTCTGTAGCGAAACACGTGCGTACAATTTTTCTGAAAATTTGATGAGCCAACTTTGTTTTTAGCGATACCGAAGACAAGAGCTGGAAAGCTACGTGGTACGTGACGTCGCACGAGGACATCGGCGACTTCTACGTTGTGGTGCGAGAATCCGGAAGCAGCAAGTCCATGATCGAGAAGGACGTCGTTTACAGCGAGCGATCCTTCAGAATTCACGATCTGAAGGAATCGAACGTCAAATACGAGCTGTGCGTGCTTGCGCGCGACTCCGAGGGAAATGTCAAGCACTACAGAAACTCGCAATGTCAGATTTTGAATCAGCACAACTCCGGTTCGACCTTTAGCCCCAAGGCGAGCCTGTGCCTCGTGATACTCGTCGCTTCCTTTCGCACGCTTATGTGAGAGACTTTAAATCTGCCGGAAATAGCATATTCACAGCATTAAAGATGATATTTTGAATGTTTTGGGAAAAAAAAAAAAACGGTAAAGTTGTACACGCGATCAAAGTACGTTCACGTATCGCTAGCTCATTAATTGTTTTCGGCTCACTCTTGCTATTGTCTTCTCGCGTTGAAGCGACGATCTTAAAGCAAATTAATATATTTTTCGTTAAAAAACGCATATATAGCACGGTATCACCTGCGTTTTGTACATAATTGTATATCTCGCTCGAAAGTAGAACGTTGAACGTTGTGTATTATTTATTTTTGTAGAAATATATACATCTTACATTATACACAAGTCACGTTGCTTTCATTTCACATCGAAGTTTCTCGACCTGTGTGAAGAGGAACGCGAACCTAATGACCGGATTCGTGCCAATAAATTACGATTGTCGGGTTAGAGAAGGATGGTCGGCGATTAGCGAACGATTCGTCTTAATAAGGACCGGCTCAATCCCACGGAGATTAATCCGGCGTCGCGCGGCCGTCGCCGTGTGTGCCGCGGCGACTAATAAAGCGCTCGCGACGCTGAGAAAAAAATTCTCACGGAAGTCCCGAACATACGCGTAGTAAGATTTCATTATCTCGCGAAGGCTGTAATTAGTATCAACGATTAGGCAGGTAACGCGTCTCGTCGCATTAAAAAGAAAGAGAGAGAGAGAGAGAGAAGGAGGAGAGGGAGGACAGTCACTAATGAGGGCGAAGAAACACAGGAGAGTCGTTAACTTCCGCAAAAGGGCACGCCGCGGGATTTATTAGCGTCATCGGAAGTCGACGACGATTTTTGTTTCCCCGACGCGTTTCGTTTTGGTTAATTATTCGCACTTCGTTAACACGCGATTACCGGTTTGTTCGACGCGGCCTGGCCCACGATATCCATGAGAGTAAGAGACAATGCCCCTGCGCGCGCACGAGTGGCAATCCACCAGGTCCGGCGGATTAACGGGAATTTAAATTACATGACGCACGGCGTACTTGATTAATATTGCTTCGGTTGGCACACCGGAAAAAAAAAAAAAAAAACAATGAATTGCACACTCGCGCCGTTTTGCCGTTCTGCTCCGCCTTCTCGATCGGGATTATCGTCGGTTTAACGCTTAATTAGCAAAGTAATCTTTGGTAACAAGCGCGATCTTCGTGTAGTTTTATCCAAAGTTATAAAAAGATTTTGGAAATAAATAAAATATTTACTTCCCCCCCATTTTTTGTCCTGTATACAACTTTTTAGTAAAACATCTTTTACAAATTGTTTGTGAAAATAAATGTTCAAAGTAAAAATACAAAAAAAAAAAAAACACGTTAAATCGCGCGTTCGTTTGGAAACCTTTTCCTGCCTTGCATCGATACTTGCAAGATGCGAGATTTCATTGCAATATTGATAGCGATTACGAAATGTCTAGTCACTTTCACTCCAGGCCCAATAAGGCTCTGGCTGACAGAAGTACCGAGCAAACACGAGCCCTCACGAAGTGCCACGAAGAACGATATCCCCCGTGAACTCGCCGGAGACATCCGCTTGTCTGGGGCCTTGTCAGGGACCTGGAGATTTGTGCGACACACACGAGCAAATTTACATTTGTCTCCTCCTACTCAAACAAATTATCGCGACAACTTTGACGCCAACTCTCTCGTCGTAAGAAAATCGGTGATTCAGAAAATACAAAAACGCACTTTAGTTTTCACACGATCAACTTGATCAAAAAAATTCCCACAGATTTTATATTCAATTTTCATGTGATGATTTAAATACAATAAATATGTCGTTTATTTTTTTCACAACTAACTGTTGTTATTTAATTTATTACACCTGTCATTGTTATAATCTTCATGTCGCTTTTGATATTTACGGTTCTCACATCCTGACCGTATGAATAAAATAAGCGGAATATACATTTACATACTGCCGCTTTGGGCAGTGACTCACGATGCATCCATGTAAGGCCCAGAGCGAGAGGTGCCCCCCGTTGGCCCCCATACGCCTACGTTAAAACATCGGCTGCCCACCTCGAGTGAAAAATAAAAACGAAAGAAGAACGAGTTTTTGTAAAAGGCTCTTTTGCCGGATCGACTTTCGACTCGCGATAGAACATTGGAAGATTGTCCGAAACGGTCGCGCGGGATCCCGTATTATTATCAAAGCGCGATCGAGTGCAACGCGCACGGGAACACGCCTTCGTCCAAGGATACCTCGATGAATCTTCTTCGGTCCGTCGGTCTATAAATCAATTAGCACGAGACTTGTTATATCTTCCCATAATTATTCCGACCCGCGAGCTCATTGCAGTTACCAGATAAGCGCTCACGGTAACATATACACATCCGATCGCATGCACACTCGCGCGATTCTACCATTGCAATTGGTTTGCGGCGGCTGCCACTTTCTCATCCGTGTGTCTTTTGTTTCGCAGTGACAGTGGCGTACGGAGCTCTTTGCCACATACAAAGAAGAAAGGAGAATCGATTTGACTGATGATAATTACCTGAGAAAAAAGTGACAGTCGCAACACTATTCTAATTTGTGACTAACAAAAGGACAATTGAATTTCTAGTTTTGTTTGTTTGTTTGTTTTTTTATCATGAAACGGAGCACACACTTACGTAAAATCATACTAATTTGAAGTCAGATGACGAAAAAAAAAATCAGTTAATTTGCATAGACTAATTAGATTTAATTGAAGTCGCGCCAAAATCGCGCTATCTCTCTTTCAATTATTTCTTAATTCCCACTGTATATTGTTTGATTCGCATCTACGCCATTGCGGTCGATGCTGCAGTCTGGGTCCGCTGACGGTTCAAACTCTCCCGCCACTCGTCGGGCCCGTCAGTGTCTCTCGCGTGCTCGCACGGGGAACATCGCTTGCCGCGCTCTCATCAAGGCCCATTACGGACGGTCCCCGGGGGCTTTTCACCGACAACGTAAAATCCTGCTTTCGCTAACGCGGGTTTCTCACCGTCGGACACGCGGACGGTGAGAAGAGAATCGCTTCTGCGTAAAGCCCCGCGCGCGCGCGTTCATCTAAATGAGAGTTCCTCGCGGATAATACGAAAATACTCCTCTCTCTCCTTCCTTCTCTCTGTACACCTCCTTTCTTTCCTTCTCTCCCTTTTTTATTTACCTGTCCTCGACGCGTATCGCGATTATATACGGGCGTTTCGTAATTATCGGAGAATCGACATGGCCGACCGTTTCTGGAGACTGGCCCTGTGCTGGATATGCATCGTCGGGTCTGCACGCGCCAATGGTGAGCGACATATCCACGTCTAATCTTTTGCAAAAAAAAAAAACTCATCCGTTGTCACTACCGCGTCATCTTTAACGAGAGAAGTTTGTAAAAATTACATATGTGAACAAATTTTATTCTCCAATCGAACATTTATTGAGAATAGCGTGTACAGAATTGTTTCTGTAGACGTGTTTAAAGTAGAAAGGTATAACTTGTAGGAAGAAACGAAAGCGACACACTTTGGTTTCCAGGACGATCATATTGCCGATTGCGGTTTGCCGCGGCAAAATATAATAACATAGGCCACTACACAATGCAACTGTCAGAGAGACAGCAGCTTAGAAGCACCTGACGCTTGCTTGCGCGCGCGCTTGCTGTAACAATAAGTAGGATTGTCCTAGATCGCGATGCCTGCGAAGTATCACGAGGATCATCGCCCAAAGCGCCAGTCAAGGTTGGAACGTTCTCTCATGCGTCGCGCTCGTTATGACTGACTTTAAGCTCGTTATTGTGACGCTGGTGGACGTTACTCTCTTCTTCTGTGGCTTCACGGTCCGTCTATTTATAAAAATGATAGTGTCCGGCAACGATAATGCAACCTGCCGACGCGACACACACACACACGCGCGCGCGCGCACACCGCGTTCGATATACGATCGGTTTTACAAGCGAGAAAGCTTGTCTCAACATGGCAGGCACAAGTTTCACGCGTGCCGAGTTTCAAAAATTGTCAGGCACACCCAGAACGAAGTTAGCGCGTCTTCGAATCACGTTTTAATGGACTGAAGATTTTTCGTTACGTCTGTCACGCGATGTTACGAGATGATTACGCGGAGGTATTATATCTCTTCCTTATCTAAGACGTTTCTCTCGGAAGTGAAACCCATGAGAGCCGTGCAAACACAATGGTAGCGCGCGCTTTGCACGATATTATCCTCGATGCGATGTGCAATTAAAAAATAACCGCATTTTTTCAGCGAGGAAAGCTCGTAATCGCGACACTTGTGATCGGGACAAAAAGCGATAATTTAAGGACGACTTGTTATAAGACAAATATGAAGAAGAAAAAAAATCAGAGCAAGAAGAATTTGCAACATTACGTGCCTAAAAGTCAATTTAACTTCAAGTTACTCAAACAAAAGCAACTGCGTTTCTTTCTAATGCGTTGCCTTCGGAGCAACAGCTAGTGTTCGCAAGTCCGATCGCTTCTGCCGAAGGCCAAAGTTGCCGCTCCGATTGTTTCCCACGAACGTTCATGACGTATAATGAATTATCCTTAATAACAGTCAAATACATCGAATAAATTGTTGGGGTTTCGCAAATGTAAAATTAGTGCAATTGCGCGCAGAATTGTCTAACGTAAAGAAAAAATAATAGGTGTGGAAAGTAATTATCTTTTCTCTTTCGCGTGGAAATTCGTTCACACACGCGACGTGTGCTTTGTGTGAGCGATCAAAAAACACACACGCGTCGATGAATCACGAGTTGATGATTCAAGATCTTCCGCCGCGTGTCTATATTTGCGTTTAAAACAAGCCAATTGTTATGTAAATTATTGCGGTCGGGAAAATGGTATGAGATGTAAAAATAACACACAATGAGAGGCGCTTTATCTTGCGAATCATGCTTTACGCTTCTCTCGCAACAACGTTGAAGAAGAAATCGATTCGACTGACTGACCGGTATTAATTTTGCCAATTTTTACCACAGTTTTTTCTGTCCCGAGAAAAATCGATCATTTATCATTTCAATTACTTTCTCGCTGCAACTCGCGCGCGGGGGAATTAACTATCGTAATAGATAGGCAAGCGCGATCGACTTCCTTCCTCGTATCGTTACCCCCCGTCGAGGGTTGCGTCGAATTCTCATTCGCGAGTCGGCGAAATTGATTATACAGGCCTCGCGTAACGGGGATAATTGAGCCGACTTATGACGACGCGGTGAACGCGAACACGGAAAGAGAAACAGAGAAGGTGTGAGGATACTGCGAGAGTCTCGCGGAAAGAAAGGGAAGGTGAGCGGGGAATGCGGCAATTTTCCGTGCTTGTGATTACGCGCGTATTCCCACCTACTCCTAGCTAGAATCCGTGGTTACCCGGAGCGATCTTAAGCCGACTACTGTCCAAGAATTAAAGAGAGGATCTGCGAACAATATGAGGTAGCTGAGCCACTAATGTGTCCATAACGGGAAACACGCGGAACGCACGATCGGAGATTAAACGTTCGCCAATGTGCGTTGGCGAGTCTTCCTTTTGGAGCGCGTCCAAACGCTATTACGCTTGGATAAAAAATCTTTTACAATTCAAGAAGATCTCAGCAAATGAAAATCACGCGATGTTAGACGTCTTTCTCGAAAGGTGAAAACTGCCTGATAAAATCGTTTACGTTATGCTGATTGCAAAATAAAATTGCGAAAACCAAATACATATTTTAATAATAATTACAATCATGCTTTCTTTTTGTTTGGAAAAGAAAATTCTGAGTCACGGAACAACCTTGTTGAGAAAAGTCAAGTCATCAGTTTCATTACACACGGTCAACCATGCGTTCTTTTTGTTTTACTCGACAAAGTTCTTTGCATGTGAAAAGAAAGATGTTATTCTTCGGAACGGGGAGCTGAAACGCTCGAGTCCGTTCATGCGACGGGAAACGTATGCGAGCGCGAAGGTTGTACGAGAAAGGAGAAGGTGAAATTCGATTTAAGTAGCTCGGCGTTGTTGCGCCTAGGTCTGTTGTCTTATTTCGCCGCTGTCATGACTATTATCATCATAGTTAATTGCCTGACCGCAAATGTGAGTATCCGCAGAGCGGATTCTCGTCTTTTTATTGTTTTCCGCGTGTGGTCGCCGCCGGAGAGAAACGCGACGCGCACGCAACAACACGAATTGACGACTTATTTTTTTTAAAAACTCACGATGAGAATGAAGTTATGCAGAAAATTGACGCGAGCCCGATGTTAAAGCGAAACGTCAAGCCGCACTCGCGCGTGTACCAGAATAATGGGATTTCTCGCGGTTTCGAAACCACTTGCTTCCTACGATTTTTTGTCGTTGCTCGCAGAATGTTTCTCATGTACGAATCCCGAAGTCGATTTTATTCATTATCTAGTCTGGAAACCGCAAGAGTTTTACGAGAAAGCGAAAACACGCCGCGGAAAAGGGAAGGGAGCGGAACAGCGCGCGATACAGGATCGCGCACGAACGCGCGATCAGAAATGAAGAATAACGAGAGTGGCGAGAATCAGCCAGTTGCGATATAGCCAGGAAGTTGCGAGCAAAGTCTCATTTTTAAATTTGAATGAAAGGATTAGTAATGTTCAAAATGGTTGAGAATATTGCGATCGATCATCGTCGCCTGAAAAGGGAAAAACGCTGCTCGCAGATTCATCTTTGGGATCGGAGACATAAATATTCGGGAAAAAAAGGGTTAAGTCGGCGCCGCGAAGTTACGGCACTGTGAGGGATGAGGGTGTGGGATATGGAGAATGTACGGGTCCCCAGGAATGGGAAACAGAAGTGGGAGTGAGAGATCGGTTGGGAGAAGCCATAGGAAAACCGGTTGCCAATCTGCACGGATGCGCCGGACGGCGCACCAAGAGGAGAGCACCAAGAAAGGGCCAAAAAGACCCCCGAGTTCTGGTTTCCAGTAAAGCGATCAGACTTTTCCTGACTCGCAAAGGTCCGACGCAAACTACCGGTTCACGATTGTCGACGGAATCGATCGGTGAAGATCGGAAATTGTCGATCAATGTCTGGATTTTTTTCCAGACGTTATGTCTATCTAATAAAATAAATTGTTCGAATCGATAAAAACAAGGAACAAGAAATCTGCCTGATCGCAAAAAAACAGCTGAGAGCATATTTTGATAATAGTCACACTAATGCGACCAGCTCTCGTAACAAAATAAAATATTTACGATCAATTTACACAAAAGTTAATGACTCTGATTAGACGCGTACTCTTTATACAAATGTACGCGTAACAAAAAGAAATGATTGAGAAGGTGAGTGAGGTCCGATTATCTCTGGACAAAGAGATGCGAACGTGACTCGATCTATCAAAATGTCATTAATCACGCAAAAGAATCAAACTTATCCCGAGATCAATCGCCATACTTTTGTGCCAAAAGATAATCAACGTTGCACTGCCGTGCTTGTTTAACGCAATAACTAGTTTTTATGCTTTATAGACACACGCGAGTATGTTTTTCCTCCGCCGACAGAACTCGGCCGCTTCCTCTCAATATCTATCCAACGCAATTTCCTTCTCAAGCACCTCGCAAGCACGTCGCACCTTTCGCTCAACGACCCCAATTTTAGTCACGTGTTTTTGAAAACCGGATTGAGATGTCACAGTACTCGTTAACACACAGAAAAACGAAACAAAGTATAACCGGCTTACAAACCATATAATACACATATGACAGGTGTGAAAAAAGTGTAAAAAAACTTTTTCTTTTGTTTTACACTTCTGTGTTCTAGTAATATAATCGAATGCTTAAAACGTTAACGACAGTAAACGTTCAATTTTCTCATAAATCGCAAATTAAACGACATTTCTTGAACAGTTATTTCGACGTGGAAAAGAACGTCTGATGAATCGTGAACTCTGACACGTCATTTTTGCGATAGCTTTATGAATGGCGACCCAACCCATCGAGGAAGACAAACTCTTCGTCTCGCTTCTTTAATGACCGACTCGACACTCATCCCAGCTCCATAAACTCGACATTTTTCCGTATGTTTCTTTCGGTAAACATGCAATGTCTATGAAGGAATTCTTCTTTGAAAATTAACACTCGAACGACGATCGTTGGCTACGTCAAGATATTTTATTATTTATCGCGCAATACGCGAATATGAAGAAATCACAATTCTTCGATTATAAATGTGTAAAAATCTCACGCAGCAATCTCTTGTGCGATGCAAATTATCATTTATTTAACACGCGCGTCTCAATACTTATCGTGAGCGAGCGTCTTTCCCTAATCTTCCAGTAAATTACCATGAAATGGCAAA